TAACTGAGATTCATATGCAGACTATCAATTTCAGACACCTATTTATGTTTTGCCATATCTAAAAGGTGGGTACTCAGCCTCAGCAGAATGATTTAGATCAGCCACATGAGGAGCCCTACCTACCTGCTACAAAGTCAGAGTTAGATCTCAGTGCTTCTGAAGGCTTCCAAAAAACAAGTCAAAGGGTCTATGTTGGGATCACCATACCAATCACTACGTTAGGAGCACTTCCATAGGGCTATTCATAGTGTTGGCACTAGTTAGAAAAGGGAGATGTGCCTAAGAGGTGTGGGGGGGCTGTGAGTGGCTGTGTCTTGTTTGGCTGCCAGCTAAGTTGAACTATCACAGTCTTATTAATGCTGGACTGTCGTTGCAAGCATATGGCAGTTCCCAGAAAACAAATTAGAGTACAAAATCTTTTTGATTCTGTTCAACAGGCACATAATTACTTGAATGTTATTGACATTGAAAGCATGGAGCTATGAGGGTGATCAGAGTATTGTCACAGTTTTCCTGATGCCAAAGCATGTTATTAAACAAGAGAAAACACTACTAAGAAAGGACACATTATATTTACAGAAATAATAAATCAAGCCTTGTGCATAACTTTTACATAGAGACATATGAAATGCAGCTATAAACTCATAAATGTTTTACTGGTGACATAATGTTTCAGAACAGTGTAATTTTTAGCCCATTCATTTGGGGTGATCATAAATGACTGGCATTTGCAAGAAGAATGCATAAATACTGTGACAAACAGGGAGATATCAAGAAGATTTTAATGACTTGTGCATGCCTCTCTTCTATTTCTTGGTAATTGCTGATTTGCTGTGTGATTAAATCAAAGACTGCTCTTAAGGAAGAAAGAGGAAGAAATTAAGAAGTGTCAAAGACAAAACTTTAGCCCAAAGTAAACAATGTCAAACATCGTAAGATAACGGCAGATGCCTCATTGGTTGTGAAATAAACACTTTCCAGATTGACATTTAGGATCAAAACACATCCTGAATTGTAAAGATGCTGGTATTAGAAAAGGGGAGTTCTTTCTGGATTGTCAGACTGGCTGACACCCCTTCTCTCCATAGAGACTTGCAGGGGTATGTCTAAATCTGCATTAAGATTTGGCCATCATCAAGACCAGATTCATGAGCTGCCAGAGCAACAGACTTGAAAGGCCTGTTTAGCTGTTGGTATAGGTTCCTGGAGAGAAAGAAGGACCTGTGCTAACCCTGGGAAGGCCTGACAGAGCAGCTGGATTCATGTAGAGCAGCTGCTGCCTAAGATTGCCTGTGGAGCCCACTTGGACAGTGCACAGCCACTCCGATGGAGACCAGGAGATGTGGCTGAAGGGGTTGAGGAAGGACGAACAAGCAGATGTGTCCAGAGCTGGGCATGAGCTGGCACTGGAGGGTCTACCTGCCCCATTTAATGATGGGGAAGGCTCTCTATGAGAACAGGCACTAGCATGGAGTGAAGCTCATCAGAAGTCGTAGTTTAGCCCTGTCTGGGAACTGGCAGGAATTTTAACAGCTGGAGCTACTGAAGCAGCCAAACTGGTCCAAACATGGCCCCGACCTCGAGGATGAACTCAAGAAGGACAGAAGCAATACAAGTACATCTCACCTCATAACTATGTTGTACATAACATGAACTTCCACTGGAAAAATTCATCAGAATGTGAACTTTGATTTCAGGGAAGTGTTTAAACTGGATTTTTTTTTTTCCAAATAGTTACTATGCATTTCCCAAACGTTTTCCCAAATTTGCTCAGTATTATAAAGAAACATGAATGTTTCCCATATGAATCAAACAAGTGTTATAGCTTTTCACAATTTTTATTGACATGTGGTACTGAGTGCCTGCCATAACGAAGGAAATGCACGTCAGTGGGAATATTAGAAAGAGAAAAAAAAAAAAAAAGTAATTTATTAGGAGTGGTATCTCTTCTTAAAGCTGGCTTAAATTCATATGAATTTTCCAGCATCTGTCTAAAGATTTTACTGATTTTTGTATCCACATGTGAGCAATAGGGAATGCTATAATTGCACTACACTATTCTTAAAACAGTTATGCAAAGATATACAGGGTTAAGGGAGCATTTTTATTAATGACACTGTACTTGGCAAATGACCCAGGAACCATATCAGCGAGAGAACCATTCAGAAACATGTTTATTTTAAACTTTCAAGTTGGAGTCTCCTGTTTCACTGAGTTTACATGGTTGTAAATCTTGTGACCTTAGCAGAATTATTCCTAATTTATTATAGCATAACTGAGTAGATTCAAACCTTAGAGAGCCACCGGAAATAGCAGTGGCATAAAAAGGTCTGATTTTAGTATGGCACTTAGAAATGAGCTGGGAGATGTCAGCACTGGGAGAAGTAACTGGAGAGGTTGATCAGACATGACACCTGGAAATTTAGTGTCGTGGAACACTTAGCACTTTCTGAGATAGAGTTTTAGGTAGTGTATATAACTATCAAACTAATTACATAGTTCATTTTAGCTAATTACATTTTTGGACAGGAATTCAAATGTTAGTTAGGCAGGTTAGGTGGAGAGACACATATATATTATCTGTAAGATAAGCCAAGTCAGTAGCAAAGCTTGTGAAAGAGTGCAAGAAAAAAAGCATTTGTCATCATTGTAGGCACAACTTACAGTAATAGCATAGGAGAGATTTCAGTTTTGTATGAAAATTTCATTTTTACAGTGTTAAACTGAAAATTTTTTAAGGTTGCATTTAATTGTTTCATCTGTACTTGAAGACAATAACTTGGCTATAAACCATCTTTCTTCCTATATTAAGTTGATCTGTCAAAGGTAAAACTTCCTGCTCTTCAAAGCTACCGTAGATGTTCCTCATGGATGTTCCAGTTCAGCAACAGTCAAAAAGAAAATATATTCTTGAGGGTAATGAAATAGCCAGAGTCATCAAAATAAACTATTATGGACAAATATTAAATCTGTGAAGACAATAATGCAGCAATACCAGTTCCTGAAGATGCAGCCTTGTACGATGCTGTTTCTTCTAAAATAGCAATCCTATTAGATTTAAAACTTACCATAAAATTTCCAGGCACTTCTGACTGACAATATTTTTCAACTTTAATTTACAGTCTTTGTGAAAAAGGAACTTGCAAAAAATGTCCTGCATTTGTGTCTGATTGTGCTTCAAATTTGCTTACAGTAGAAGCCTCTGAAACTGTTTACTTGCAATGTTTCTGGATGACTAAGCCTATGTTTTAAATAACAGCATGAATGTAGGTAGGAACATAGGACTGGGAAGAAATCTCCATTACTGAGGGTTACTGAATTCCATCCTTTTTTCTCTATTTCATATGTCACTATTCCATTTTACACTCTCTTCTTTATGAAGCAGAGACACTTACATGTTGAAATACAGTGACCTTGAGTGAAATTCTTTGCCTGGGCACTTCGACTTTACGCAGGTGAAGAGAGATGGTTTGGGAGGAAAAAACATCTACTTTCAAGACAGGTTTCCTGTATTTCATGTGCCTTCAAGACATATATGACATAAGGGCATTCACTGACCCTGCCCTATTTGCTCTGTTCCCACTCCAGTGCATTTTAAGTTTGTAAAACTTCTTGGTGTGGTGGTTTGGGTGGATTCACACTTTTGGCTTGCACCTTGCAGCCAAACACAGCCTGCTCTATCACCCTCCCCGCCCCTAGGGAGTAGGAGAGGGAAATGGAAAGAAAAGGGCAAGGAAACTCACAGGTTGAGATAAAAACTATTTACTAATTAAAATAAAATGATAATGATAACAACAGTGATAACAGAATATACAAATGAGTGATACACAGTGCTCACTGCCCACTGCCCAATGCCTGGCCTGTGCCAGCCAGTGATCCCAGAGCCCAGACAGTCCCAAAACCAAAACCCTGGAAGAACAAGCCCAAGTGATGCCTGAGAGAATACCCCTGTCTTCCAGTCAGCCCTGGTTAATATACTGACATGACGTGATATGATATGGAATATTTCATTGGCACAACCAGATGCCAGTTTTGGGTTTTGCTATTCACTGCACTTCTCCCTCCCAGTCGTAATGCAGCTGTGAACCAGCCAAACACGATGGCCTTGAGCTCCAGCAGCAACTAATAACATTAGTACTTTTATCAACATTCCTCTCATAACAAGTTCTACACTGAAACCAAAATACAGCTATTCTAATTACTAAGAAAATTAACTCTATCCTAGCAAAACCAGGACACTTGGTCATGCATCAGTCCCTGTTTTCTTGTGCATTGAAGTACACTAGGCACTTCTAAGATTGCTAGTTCTCAAACAGTAACTGCAGAGGTGGCATTAGGAAAGGATAGAGGATCTGTTTTTTTCAGGCAAATAAATACAGTAACTTGGCCTAAGCTCCTATTGCAAAGGAAGGCTGCAATATCTATATAGGTATGAGGTTTAAGGTGGCAATTGATCCATGATGGATGTCATTCTCTATTCATTTCTGGCAAAAAGGTACTTCATTTATTTTCACCTGTAATAAAATGTTTTTCCACATTCCACAGCCTCCTTAGTAGATGAAATTGATCTTCTCCTTTTGACTTCAGTGTCAAGTTGATCCACAGTGGTAAAAAAAAATGACAATTTAATATCATTTCAGCATCTTTTGCTTCTGCCATTGCATCTGTTAGCTCACCACTTTTCCTTTAGACAGAGGATATGAGGAAAAACAGAGAGAGATCAGGAATAGACATACTGGCACTAAACTATTAATTTCTTCGAAAAACAAGAGGGTTTTCTTCCTTTCTAACTTTTACAATTTACACTGGGGACTACCCAGGCCTTTTATGACACAAGCAGAGACACAGACAAGTGCATCGTATAGTTTGTAAACTGATGAAGTTCTGTCTTATTTGATTTGTACTCCTTATTTTTCCAGAACCACTGTGTATGCAGTTCTAAAACACTAAGGAAGAGATTTTTAAATCCTGCTTTTTTAGTCTGCTCTTGTATTTTGCAGCTGACACCAGTCTTGGAACGGATGATGTTTATGACGATAAAGGGTGCCAGTGTGATGTGTCAGTAGAAGATCTTACCCCTGCTCTTAAAACTGTCATCAGAGCAATCAGGTGAGTAAAAAATACTAAATGAATAAATATCAGAGATCTCTTTGATTATGATACTAATTAACTGCATGTCAATTAATAAAATGGTAGTTAGTTGAATTTATTACGTGGCTATATTTGTTACATAACTAATGCTAGTATAGCTTATTTATGCTTCCTTTTCATCAGTATTGTATTTATAAGCTGAAATATTTTATGTGTTCTGTTATCAGCTTTTCAATGTCTAAAAATGTTATATGATTTGATTCAGAAAAGGAAGAGAGTAATGGATGCTGATTTCCACTATATTTCCTGTAATCCAAATTACTGTAATCCAGTTCGATGTAGTTTTACTGGATGTATATTACTTTGCCTGGAAAAGCTATTTCCTTTTAAAGTTTAGGTTTTTATTGCATTACTGTATTCCTGAAACTGTCTGACATATGACTTTTATTTCAACTTTCTTCTAGTAACAGCAGAATAATGACATTCATTCAATTGTGTAAAGCCTTGCTTGCCACTACCCATTGAATTAAATATAACCCAAATAATTTAAAACTAATAGTCCCCTTCTTTTCCAAGAAAGCAGCATTCAAACTTACAAAATTACCTGCACTGAAAGCTTAAATTTAGCATTTACCTTCCTGAGACAGCCAAGGCTCTTCATCTTCCTGAATATTTTGAAGTGCAAATCCTGACAGGCCAAACCCCCACCATAAAGAGTACATTGACAAGCAAGGAGGGCTCAGGCGTTCCCTCTCTGCTGACAGCAAACCTGAGGTTATTGCTGGGTGTCACTCCACTGGCTCTGCACCACAGTCACATCAGTGCCTGGCACCCTTCTTGCAGGCAGGCAGGCAGGCAGCAGCCACAGGGGATTTCTGCAAAACCCTATGAAAGATGATGTTTTCCTGCAGGGAGACTCTCACCTGAGTTCTCTCAGCACTATGGAAGAATGAACTCAAGCTCTTTATCAAATAATTTCGTACAGTGATAACCTACAGGCTACTTGTATTTTCTTCCCCTTTTTCCACTGATGGACAAGGAAGATAGAGAGTGAGTAAGGCTGTTTCTAATACTTTTCTACTAGCACAGACAGTTTGACAGATCATTTGCAGATGTCTGTTCCACCGTTTTTCCAACCTGCCTGGAAATGACCTCACAGGACGTGTCAGATACCAGGTCCATGTCCACAGCCACTGCAACTGGCAACTCAAATGTCACTGCTGAGAACCATCTCTTGTCAGAAATGTTTCAGCAGGAGACAGAAATAATGCTACACAGTGGACGCCCACCTACAAGGCAGACCTATTCCTTCGAATGGAAAATGCTCAAATTAGGAATACCTCAGCATAATTCCTTGGCTCTGGTGCCAAAGATCCTTGTCTGTGATGTTGCATTTTAAACAGAATGGTTGACTCTTGGCTCCAAGAGGATGTCGTCACTGTACTGGCAAGTGATACCAATGGTCATTTCATTCTTAATTCTGTCCAAATTCCTTAAAATCAACTTGACATTTTAATCCTAAATTCATGGAGCTTTTTTTCAAAGGCACCACTGGATTGTTCAATATATCACCTGCCGTTTTTCTTAGTTCTCTTGGTAATTATCAGCTCAAATGGAAAGTAACCAAATGTGAGGGACATAGTTGGCAAACTTTCTGCACAGTGCCATCCACAGAAATGTTCTAATAAGAAGAATAAAGATGCAACAGTTTGATTGTTTCAGACAGGCACGATTTAACTGATAGGAGTCAAGTTTTTAGATTACCTCCAGCTTTTTCTCTGCACACTTGGCTTGCCAAAAACCAACTCATTTCACCACTGAGACTGTGAATAACAATTCTGCATCTCCACTTGCTATCAATTAGCCACAAATCTCTCCCATCTCTCCCTGCAAATGGTGTTTCACTAGCTTGCAAGCAGCACATACATCTTGCTTCAGAAATAAAGCTTTGTTTGAGATCTGTAAAGCAGCAATATGCAATGAACTTCAGAGTTTTGTTAAATGCTATACCTTAATCTCTCAAAATCAAGAGACTGATAATTCAGTTCATCAGGTAGCTGATACTCCTCTTTCTGATTATTCAGAGTATCTGTTACCTGACTACACTGGGATCTATGCAAACATCTGAAGAAGGATCGGAGACACTATATAGTAACTGTAGAATTTCAAGATGATAACATCTGCCTATATGGAAACTTTGTGCCTCGTTTTGAAGTTTGTTTTTAGCAACGGCTTTGAATTGCAAAGGCAATGGGGGAGGGTGGAGGCTGTTTTTCCTTTCCTGCTGGCATACAGGAGCAGATGAAGACAGAAGGTACTTGAATAGCTTCATGAGGCACTGTTCAAAAGACCCCAAATGTAAGCACATAGAGTTGAATCCATTCTGGCTGCATCACCTTGAAAAACCACAATAAGGGAGAGTAATTACTTTTTCCTGCTGGGTATAATTTGTTTTGCACTGATACAAATGGTACTTCTCTTTTGAGGAAAAAATGAAATTAGCAAAATTAATTCATGCCTGTGGATTTACAGAGGTAGGCACTCTTAGTTTTGGAATCAGAAAGAACTGGGGGTTTTTTTCTGTGAAAAGAGCCTAGAATATGCTGGTTACTCTCAGGCTGGACAGCCTTGAAAGAGTAAAAGACAAAAACTGGTTTATTTATAATCTTTATTTAATAATCTTTCTTTTTTGTAATTTCAAAACATACTGCTTCAGTTTTGACCTTGCTTACTTACATTTTTCCCAAGACTACTTTATTCTTCAAAACAACTTTTTGATTTTAAACAAACAAATCTCTAAGCTTTCATTTTGAAAAGGTCAAAACAGGAGATGGAGAAAATAGTCCTTTCCTGGAAAAGTTCTTAATATATGGACCAGGTTGCCCAGAGAAGTTGTGGATGCCCCCTCCCAGGAAGTGTTCAACACCAGGTTGGATGAAGCTTTGAGCAACCTGGTCTAGTGGAAGGTGTCGCTGCTGATGGAAGGGGGGTTGGAACTAGATGATCTTTAAGGTCCCTTCCAACCCAAACCATTCTATGATTCTATATTGGCTTTTTACGAAAATAGGACTCCCAACCCATCCTACTGAAGACCCACCAGGCAGACCTGTCTGGTAACATGTCAAGCTGTCAGCCTCCTCTCAAAGTCCCCCAAGCTGAGTCTTCCACTGCCCATCTCTTATGGTGCCTTCTCCACCCCCCTTACTACAACCTCTCTGTCAGGAAAGATCAAGTGAGGCAATAGGGAAAGTAAGGAAAAACTGCTCAACACATTTGCACAATGTTGGGTGAGTAGGGAGCAGACAGGTAGTGTGGAGAAACGTGGTGTGCTCCACAGCATGCCTTGGGCCTGGCCAGCATCAGTCCTGCTCCTCCGTAGCCTCCAGCTGGGATCAGGGCATTGCACAAAGCAGTTCTTACCAGTGGTACACTAAGCCTTTGCACCAGCAGGTTTTGTAGCACCACTCAACCAGCCCTAGTCTTGTCATGAACAAAAAGCCATTAATATCCTTCAGAGTTCCTGGAGACTAACAAAAAACATTGCATTTTCCAGGTCTCTCTGTTAGTTCACAATGATGAATGTATATAAAAAAGAAGAAAAAGAAGATGAGGATAACTTGTTGGCAATATCTCTGATCATTTTTCATAGCAAGAGGCACTAAAGTCTGTAATACTCTCCACAATGGAAATGATGGAATTATTTTACTATTTATGGAATACAAAATTAGATTTGAGAAGCATAAATAAATATGCAACAAGAAATAACTGCAATAGCAGGAAGATGAACTTGCTGACCGAAGAGGTCTTTCCTCTCTTTAACTCTAGTGATTACATAGATACATTTTCATTTGTTGTTAATAAGAAATAATAACAATAAACGTAGCTAAACATAATGAAATTTGAGAATTCTTGAGCTGATAAGCTGTATGGTTGAATAGTCATACATATTTAATAGCCAAAGAAGGAAAATATAATTTACCATTTATGTTCAGTCTTTGAAATGTTTCTGTTACACCTATAAAATCTGTTTTCAGCAGCCATTAGGAATTTGTTCAATGGTGGTGTTTCAGAGGCCTCTATTTCTTTTAAGTCTCAACACATTGTATGTTTTCTGCCCAGATGGTCTTTAGAGTCTAGGCAAGGCCCTTAGATGTGTCTTTTGTTATGACAGCCTAGTGTTTGGAAGAAAACAATATCTCTGGCTCCTGGGATGGGTTAGTACAGGTCAAGACCCAAGAGAGGCAGCAATATTGACCCACTCACCCCACACATCATGGAACTACCTCTCAGCCACCTTTGTCTGTTGGCCTCTCTGTATTGGATCCTGATCTCTTCTGCACATTGCAGTTTACCAGGAAGAAGGGTTATTTGGCAAGCTAAGGATAGAGAGACAAAGGAACCAGCACAACTAGATCTCTGTGCACCTGCTTTCCTGATGCAGCAAGAGAGCAAACAACCCATAAGCACCTCATCTAGCTATGGGTAAAACCTGTCTTTTAATCCTTATGGCAGGAACCATGTGTGAGTTTACCTGAATCCCAGTAGAATGAAGCTCCATTTCTTCCCAAGATAGTAGCAAGACTGACAAGACACAGGTTTAAAAAAAATAGCATGGGTACGACAGGGCTGCACAGAGGATGAGAGATGTTCTGACTCAGTGCCAGTCTCAGTAAAGCGCACTAATGACAAGCAGAATAGCTTTTAATACTGGATGTGGCAACATGAATGGAAATTAAATGCAACAAATGCCAGGAAAGAGATGCAACCTGCACATTCAGAAGACACTGTAATTCTAGCTCAGTGCTGATCCTTCATTTGACAAGAGTTAAATGAAATGGATGCTGCTTGTGGCTGCTAGGGGTCAATAAGATAAAAGTTGGTATTTGACCTGCAACTTTCTACAAATTACCAGGCCATGTAAAGATTAGTGGGACATGTGGTTTAGACATTAACTATAGACAAAGCACTTTCATATATTAAACACAAAAGTTTGGTTTTTTTCCTGCTCTCCTCTGGATGCATCACTGAAATAGGATAGTTTTTATGGCAAATGCTCACCAGAAAATTCTCACACTTGTGACTCAAATACATTTACAACATGCGTATTGTCTTACCACATTAGATTTGAATTTTAAAATACCACCTCGCTATGCAGCATACAGTGATTTAAAAATACAAATAATGTTTTTAAAAATCATGAAGACTACACTCTTTGTTCTTTTGGGTTAATTCTTGCTTTCAGTCACTGCTGTTTGGTCAGTACTAGCAGTTCAGTACTGCCAGTGGCGACTCAGTTTAGTTTATGATGAGTCTTGTTTGCCCCCTCGTGGTATAACTAGAAACGACACACCGAGCCGCAGTTTGCTCTCTTCCTTTTTTGTGTCAAGGGTTGGTGCCTCAGATACTTGGGGTATGAATCACTTTGTGCTCATTCTCCCTTTTTCATACCGGTAGGTTATCCACCTGTGCCCACATAACTGAACCCTTCATTTTTGTCACACAGGAACATGCCTGAATAGGCAACTGTTTATTCTAGAAGCATGAATGAAGGAAGCTCAAAGGGTTTTTTTTGTTCACAATTCAGCTACTACCTTTGAATATGCTCTATATAGTTGTAATAATCTCTCAGGATGGGTGTTCAAGCCTTTCAAGTTCAATTACATAGTTATTTCAAGATATAGAAAGAGAATTGAATTTTTTAAATTAACAGCAAATAACTGTAGAGAATCAACTAAATTTAATAACTGAAAAGCAGTTGCTAGGCTCCATCACTGAAAAAAAAAATCACGTCTTGGGTTTCTTAATTAACTTTCAGGCTTTTAAAACGCCAGTCTTCTCCAACACTTCGATTTTTTTTTCATAGTTTTTGTAAAATTTTATATATTCAAAGCAAAAAAAAAAATAAGCAACATGGGTCTGTTCCAAACCCTGATGAAGTTAATCAAGATGGCAGCACGTGAGCTAATACTGAAACCAGAAATACTAGAGTTACATCTCACTGGTAGAGCCATGATGCTTTTGGTCCTGTGTTTGACTTATGAACATTATGAACAAACTGTCTTGGCAACCAGAAAACTTGTTACAAAGCTGCAAAGCAGTAATGAAAACTTTTGTGCACACTGATTAAGAAGCTTCTATGGCTGTTAATAAAAATTAGTCTTCTGTCTCTTCTCTTGTAAAATCACCCAGTTGTGGTAAATTCAGTTGTCTTCAATTATGCTATTAATCCTCTGGCTCCACTTTTCTAATAGAGTTTCATATTTTTACTTTATCAAGACCGTGAAGTAAAAAATTGTGACCACCAAAACAGAGAGAATAATAACAAAAGAATGATAGGTTCTTGTGTGTCAGCTACATCATTTATTCTTCGTAACTTCAAAAAAGAACTAGATTCCAGGAGGTTGTCTGCACTGCCAGACTATTATGAACAGAACATCTTGGCATCATTTGACAGCTAAAAGGAAAAAAAAAAAAAAAAAAATGTATTCCAGCTTCAGAGGCCATCAGATAACAAAAGACACCGAAAGCCATTAGTCTGTAGAAGTGGCTGACAATGGAAAAGAGGAAAGTGCATCATCTGACATATTTAAAACTTCATGAAGATCAGTCCTGAACTGTCAAGGTGATGGACTACTCCTAGCAGGCCTTTTCCATTTTTAATTCCTATAATCAGAATAATACTTCAAGCTTTATACCAGTGACAAGCGATCTCATTTTTAACTGGAAGTTGCCAGAATGGGAAATATCAACAACCTAAGCACTGTGGGAAAAGGCTGATGTTATTTCGAAGAACATTTATGTATGATACAGAAAACAGTAGAGGATCTCTATATACTATTAATCTGACTCTACATACCTATTACTATAATGTCTCTCCTAACTATAAAAGGTACAGATACCCTGAATTCCACTAAAACACTACTGATCTATTTTTATCACAAAGTAAATGCCATGTTTTGGTTTTTGTTATCATTCTCAGAATCACAGAATGGTAGGGGTTGGAAGGGACCTCGAAAGATCATCTAGTCCAACCCCCCTGCCAAAGCAGGTTCACCTGGAACAGGTTGCACAGGAAAGTGTCCAGGCGGGTTTTGAACATCTCCAGAGATGGAGACTCCACAGCCTCTCTGGGCAGCCTGTTCCAGTGCTCATAGTCTTACAGCTGCTAAATACATACAATAATAAACAAAGAGGGAATACATTAGCATTAAATATTGGGATCTGGAATAGGATACCAATTTATTGTCTCTGCTTTTTTAATTGCAATAGATAGCAAATATCAGCAGTTTGGCCCTAACGGGGATTCCTAAGCCCTGTAACACAGACCAGAATGGCAGACACATCTGATCCCTCCTTGGCTTCTCTTCCAGTTATTTCATGGATCTCTCTTCCGCAGTTCTCATGTAAACCAAGGAGACTACTGCAGGTTTTACCACCTGACCTGGAAAATTGGCTCATTGCCATTGACTTTCCAAATTTGTCATTTCTATTATTTAAAATTTGCAATTTAATATCAAGCTTTTCATTCTAAGAAGAGCTACTCAGTGGACATCATCTATTCCTATAAGCATCACAGGAACTTGTGCAAGTCTCACATAAAAAACACAGGCCATTCATCAATTTTGGATATTTACTGTTATCTGATACTTACTATTCTGCAGCAATATTCAAGGAAAAAAATCACCAGTGCTAATGAAACAGTAATTCCCATAGATTTCAATATGAAACAATCATGAGAACTTTTCTTTAGCCTGCAAAGCTTGATCTTAAGTCAGCAAAATAAATTAAAAACAAATACTTAGGCCTGAATGTTAATTAAAAATAAAAATTGATGAAAAAGTAAATTCAATTTTTTAAAAAAAATTGTAGAATCATAGAATAATTTTGGTTAGAAAAGACCTTTAAGATCATCAAGTCCAACTGTTAACCTAACACCACCAAGTCCACCACTAAACCATGTCACTAAGCACCACATCTACTCGTCTTTTAAAGATGTGCAGGGATGGTGACACCATCTCTTCCCTGGGCAGCCTGTTCCAATGGTTGACAACCCTTTCAGTGAAGAAATTTTTCCTACTATCCAATCTAAACTTCCCCTCGTGCAACTTGAAGCCATTTCCTCTTGTCTTATTGCTTCTTACTTGGGAGAAGAGACCAAATGGAAAGCAAAGAACTTTACATGAGCACCAGAAAAAGAATGCTATTACTTATGCTATTATTTATTGATTTTTTTTTTAGAGAAATCTTTCCTCTAACATGGACAGACATAGCTTAAGCACAAATGTAGCTTACATGATATCTCAATCAAGTCAGAGGGACTAACCTAAATTAACTCTATCCTAGCAAAACCAGGACATTTACATAACAATTCAAAGGGATAGCTACAACACATTTCTACTTACACATTTGTACTTATAAAAACAATTTTGTAAAGGGAAAAGTTCACTTGCACAAGCTGTATTGAAAATATCTTCCTTTTAAAAATTAGCTGTCAAATTTTGTCAGTGAAATGTATTGTTTCACAACTGTTGAAGATTAATCTGTGAAATGCTTTTCCTCACAGAATCATGAAATTTCATGTTGCAAAGAGAAAGTTTAAGGAAACACTTCGTCCATATGATGTCAAAGATGTCATTGAACAGTATTCAGCAGGTCATCTGGACATGTTATGCAGGATTAAGAGTCTTCAGTCCCGGTAAGGAAAGAATAATTTCTGCATCTTCTTATGTCATTCATTGCATAATGAATATTGGTAACATTTAACATTCCTGTGTTATATTTGGACACAAATTGCCATCCATGTTTCAGCCCAGCCTCTCTTTCTGTGAACACAGTTGAGACAGAAATTACATGGTGAGTGAAAACAAACAAAACTCCATATATCTAAGTTGTCCCCAGAAGGAAGTCTGAACAACAGAAAAGGTAATCCTCTATCTGTAACATCCATTCATAAACAAGGAATTTAGTCAGGAGGTTGCCAAAAGGATGAGGTCAACATTGAGAACTGCCTTTCACCCACTCTAGACTTCCTCTTTTCACATAAAAGAAATCAGGAACTACTGGTAATGTAGTATTTATGTAATTTTTATGTTCTAGATTCCCGGCAATAATAAAATAAAATAAAATAAAATAAAAT